TCTCTCTCTCTCTCTCTCTCTCTCTCTCTCTCTCTCTCTCTCTTTCCACTTCCCCCCTCTCTCTCTTTTGTGTTTGCCCATTTGTCTGTTTGTCGCTCACCATTTCGATTCCCACTTTCTTTTTCTCTCGCTCTGTCGCTCTCTCCCAGGCACTCTCTTACTCCAACACACACACACACACACACACACACACACACACACACACACTCACTCACCTTCCCCCTCTTTCTTTCTCTGTCACTCCCTCTCTCAATCCACAGGGAAGAGTTGGAGCCCTATCTCCGTGAATTGAGTATAGAAGACTACGGGGGCTATGTGGCGTCACTGGGGTCAGCCCAGTGGTTCACAGACTCGCCTCAGGGGCACGACCTTCCAGGGGAGATCATCAGAACGTAAGGAATACAACAATGTTATAATTTTCCGGGTAAATTATCAGAATGTAAATACTAGCACAATGTTATAATTTTCAAAGCAAATTAACAAAACGTAAAGAATAGCCTAATGTTATACTTGTATTTCAGGGGACATTATCAGAACGTAAGAAAAAAGCACAAGGGAGATCATTAGTGTGTAAGGAATGGAACAATTTAATCAAAGAAATAGTACAACAGTGTTTATGTTTGCGGGAAGACTATCAGTACACCAAGAATATCACAATTTCAATGACATCATTTGAAAGTTACTCTTTCCCATCAAACGAATAACAGCATTGTGTCATGTGATCATCAGAACGTAAGGAACAGTACAATGCCATGAATGGGATTCATATAACACAATGTAATAGAGGGATAAACACAATGATTTGTTCAAAGGGAGATCATCAGTGTGTGAGGAATAGCACATTGGCATCTGTGGTATCTGTTCTCCGCTACTCCTCCGGCCTTGTGCCCACTGGTTTAGCGAGGCAGATACTGCCCGAGGCATACCGAGGGACGGAGAAATCTGACCCTCTTTTCTATCGGGTGGACGGGTATCGTCCGCTAATAAATAAAAAAATAGCATATTGGCATCAATGGAATGTAAATAGCACTATGTCATCAAGGGAGTAGCACAGTGGTCATGAGTACATAAGAAATAGTGAAAATAATAATTTTGTCTCAAGGGAGATAATACAAATTTAAGTTTTGGGGGTTTGTGTCAGGGGAAATAAAGCCATGGGAAGGGCGGGGAGAGGGAAAACAAAGGGGG